TGAGACCACAGAGACAAATACACACAACATACACATAATACAACACACATATAAAAAATACATCTGCACATATGATACCCATAAACACAGACACCCCCCCCACACCACACATATGCGACCCATAAGCACAGACAAATACACAGAACACATACGTACAACACACACGTACACAAAATACATCATATACATATGAAATCCATAAACACAGACATGTGCACACACACACACAAATGACACACATAACACACACACAAATATATCACGTATACATTAGACCTACATACACATACGTACATACACACACACAAACACATGCATACATGGATGGCACACACATGCACACACATACACATACAAATGTGTGAAAACACATGTGCACACACACATACACGTTACGCCCCCCCCCCCACGCACGCACCAAGGGTAAGCTTTCAAATCCATTCTTTTGTCCGCCTTGCTGCTGGGTGTGGACCTTGGGCAGTGCACCAGCCTGGCCTCACCCCAGTGCCCTAGCTTCACAAGCGAGGGCAGCCTGCAGCTGGGAGCGGGCTTTGTGAAGCGAGAAGCTGTGGGTCTCGGCACTCAGCAGCCATTGCTGAGCGCCGTTCTAGTGCTGAGAAACTCTGCCTTTAGCAAAACTGGAGTTAAAATCGTGTGCATTTAAGGTGTATGACATAGGTTCCGACACAGTGGCTCTCCTACAGCGAAGCTAATTAACTGTCCACACATCTTTTAGCTAACCATCCCCTCCCCTTTTATGGGTGAGAAGAGCACGTTTACCGTGCACTGCCCAGGCTGAGCCGGGGCTTGCGTTTCTCTTGCCTCAGCTTTCTGAGTGCTGGAATTACAGGTGTGGGCCTGTAATTCATCTGTCATATCTGCCATTTTGTCCTTTGATCACCCCCCACCCATTTCTACTTTTTTAAATGTCTTGTTTCTCATCTGTAACCAGGATTTCGCTCTCTACCTCTGTGCAAGCAACTGGTTTAAGATTTCACATAGAGGGACAAGAAAGGCGGCTGGCAGCTAGATCACTCAGCACCTTTGCGGAGGACCCAGGTTAAGGCATGCGGCACAGCTACGTACACACACACACACACACACACACACACACATCGTTTCCCTTCATTTCTTTAAACTTTGAATGTGTACAGATAAACCACCTGTAATCATAAACACATTTTTCCAAGTGTCACTTCTTGCAGGAAGAAGACGTCCATAGACAGCATGTAAACGAGTGGCCACGACTCTGCGCCGCTACAGCTTTGTTGACTGAGAGGCTGCAGGCTGGATACAGCGAGTGGGCCATAATTCTTTAACCTTCACATAGAAAGACTCCAAATCGTCTCCAGAACGACTCCAGAAAAGCCTAGGTATTTGACTTCTGGGTTGGCGTGCGTTATGTGTGTCTGGCCCTGCACGAGCACAGCTTCCTTGGTTACTTGCGCTACAGTCCCATGGGCAAAGCGCCAAGCACACCACAGCCATGGCTATAGCACAAATCAAGACTCCAAGATGACCCTACGTAGATGTTCTATAGCGAGAAGGTTGAACTGGATCCCCAAAGACCTGTGGAAGGGAGGGCATAACTCAGGGGTGGAGCACCTTCCTAGAGTTCGTGAGACCCTGGGTTTTATCCCCAAATCACTGCAAGAAAAGCCTTAAAAATATCTTATTAGGCCTGCTCCACTGGAGGGAAGCCAGGCCTGCTACAGTGTAACCTGATCAAAAGTAGTGCCTGGAGAAGACACAAGACCTGCAAAAAAGTCTACTGTTGACATTTTGCCAAACTGCCTTCTTAAAGATTTGTGTTTGTACCCAGAGACTAGTGCTCTGTTTAATTTTGGCCAGAGAAGCTTTATTCTGCAGTAGTGGGAGTTGACATACAGACTCAGATTTTTTTCAAACCCCTGAGAGTAAGTGCTTATTTAGTACTCAACCCTAAATGGGACATCTTTATCAACACCCCAACCCCCAGAGACCAGGGAACATCACATAAGGTGGGGGGGGGGAAGAGAGTTGGGTTGTGGTGGTGCACGCCTTTAATCCCGGTATTCAGGAGGCAGAGGTGGCCAGGTCTCAGTGAGTTGGAGGACAGCCAGGGCTACACAGAGAAACCCTGTCTGGGGTGGGGAAGGAAGAGGTGTGTGTGTGTGTGTGTGTGTGTGTGTGTGTGTGTGTGTGTGTGTG